AATGACAGTTTAAAACATGCTATACTTTCCAACACTAGAGCAACAAGAGACATTTGTATTTTAGCTCAATATATGAAGAATTTAAAAGTAAGTAATTTTCGCTCAAACAGAGTAACAGAGAGATCGCGCATTTGTATTCATGAATAATTTCACGTAATTTATTGCACTACATTTTACGTAATGTTTTACACACAACGTTACTTATCTCAGTCATAAATTTTCTCCTAAATATTTATTATGGCGTATTTTTAAATTTAATAATTTAAACAGGATAAATTTGGAAGAATGTGGACATGATTGAAATATCATGATGTATCAGTGTCTATAGTATAAATTAAATATATCTTGTTATTATACAAACTTTTATAAACTGCAGGAAATTAAAAAAAAATTCCTCTTTTTTATTAAAGGCATTAGTGTATGTTAGTACAGCATTCGCACACGTGAATAATGCATTTATTGAAGAAAAAATGTACCCACCTATAGCTGATTGGCGGAAAATGATAGAGATCGCGGAGTCATTGGATGAACATACTTTAAACATTTTTACAGCTAAGTAAGTAATAAGCTAAAAACAATAATCGTGATGTTTATAAAATTTATATAATTATAGATGTTTTCTTAGAACTATTATTTTATTACTATGTTATATTATTATAGTTATCTATTTGTGTTTTAAAAACTATTCTTTTATTCATCGTACTTCTAATAAAATAATATCCAAATTTTTAATTTTGTGTACATTTGAAATTATGTATAGATGTTTGGATTACGCTCCGAACACGTATATTTTTTCGAAGAACCTAGCGGAAAGTGTAATACAGGATTATTCTTTCTTTTTTCCTTGCGCGATTGTAAGACCTTCCTTAGGTACGTAGCCTTATTTTTCCTAACAATAAGTATTAGAACTAAATTTTTGTTTTAACGCCTTATTATTGTGTATGCTAAATATTTGTATCCGTTATTTTGTGTTACAGTATCTCAAAATAAAATATTTAATAGAATGCAGGGTGTCCGGCAATTCTTTACATAACCGTAGTATGAAGGTGGATTGGGTTAAATTTAAAGGAAATATCATGTATTATTTTGCAAAATTTGCTATAGTTATTGAATAATTAGTTAAACTGTCCGAAACAATGTGCTTGTGGAAAGCAGTAGGTAAGCCAAACTCGGTAGGTATAGGCATGTATATAAAATGACTTACTTGTTAGATCTCTTAGCCACGGCATTGTACATACGTCACGCG